GGGGGGGGTGCCAAGCAGCAGGGTTTTTGGTTAGAGAAACGACTGTGGGTACTTCCACGGTGTTTGCACTTTAGTTTTTAAGTAATGGGGAGTCAAATTTAAACATTTTTAAATGCGNGTGCCAAGCAGCAGGGTTTTTGGTTAGAGAAACGACTGTGGGTATTTCCACGGTGTTTGCACTTTAGTTTTTAAGTAATGGGGAGTCAAATTGAAAAATTTTTAAATGCAAAAATATTTTATATTCACAAATGTGAGTTTATAAGGTATAAAGAAGAATAATAAAATAGATAGCCTTGCACTTAGTTTATCCACTATCATTGATATACAACATGTAGCTCTTTGGGAACATCACACTTTACCTACCTAATATGAATACACCCCGGGCCGCGTCCAGCTTTGTGCTACTCCAACACGCTCTGTGAAGCTGTAAGAGTTTAGGCCATGTCCCTACAGTGGAATTGCTGGCTCATGTGGTTTGTGCGTTTTCCAACTGTTTCCCCGAAGCCTGGGCAGGAACGTGGATCCCACCAGCAGTATATAAGCTCCCGGGTGACCCGAGTCCTTGACACCCTGTGGTCCCTCGTGCTGCTAACTTCTGACGACGGGTGAGTGACAAGCAGTATCTCTTTGGTTTTGGTTATACTTCCCTGGTTACTTAAAAGATTGTTTGCATTTCTGTTTATTGGTCATTTTTATTTCCTTATTTTAAAAAATAATTGCTCACTTTTTCCCCCATTTTCTTACTGGATTATTTTGTGTTTTATCAACTTGTAGAAAATGCTCAGGAAAATGAGACTTTAATCATTATAATAAGGCGAATTTCACGTTTTATGGTGGTTGTAATAAGTGTTCTTAATTTTATTTTTTAGTTGAATTTTATTAACATTTTCTTCTTGGTTTATTGCCCTAAAATCATAAAAATATCTTCATCTACATTTTTATAAACGATTCTAAAGCTTTACCATTCCCATTTAGCTCTTTAAATTACCTGGAATTAATTTTTGTTAGATACAATGTAAGGATCCCGTTTGATTCCCCCCCCG